CGGACTACGATGGGGGAGATATGGAGAGTAAGAGAGAGAGAGGAAGAAAAATAAAGCAGAATACGAAGTTCGGGGATTCTGCCAGAATATGCCCTCGAGAATCAAGGGGGTTTCCAGAGCGGTAAAAGGTAACAATCTCATTGATAAAAAATCTCCTAATTTGACTGAAACCGAAGCTATTGTCATTTCGCGTCTCTCACCGCCTTGCTAGTCTCGTGTTGTTTTTTTTTTTGTATAGGCGATGGTTCCTGGCTGAGAGCTCAGTTCCACCTTAGAGCTCATATACCCCGAGGTATAACTCTTGAAAAGGGAGAGTGACAATAGTCTTTCCTCGATCCCTGTATTTTTCACATATGTTCAATGTTCAAGGTCTGATGGTGATTTCAAATGTGGGAGCTGTAACAGGGATATCAAAGGAACGGGTCTGTCAGCATAGACCTTCGGTGATATAGTTGACAGTGACCGAACCAAAAAAAAAGGGGGAAATGCAGTACGTGAAAGTTCCAAAATCGATTGGAGGAGAAAGCAAGAAAAAGCGCGTCTGCATGTGTTGTTCGTCAACGTGGAGGAGTCTGTGCGTGTAGATTAATTTACATATTTACATATTTACATTATTACAGTATAATATATATAATTTACATAGAATAATAGAATAGAATATGGATAATATATGTATAATATAATATAGTAATAGTATATTTTATATCAAATAGTTGTACTTTATCATATCTATGCCTCAGGCTACAAAATATAGTCATCCCCCTACTTCAACTTCTTCCTCTTCTTTCTCATTCTCTCATCTTTCATCTCTCTTCATACCATTTTCTATCTAATTACTCGTAATTTACAAACTTGAATCTCATGGCTGCACCTCGGCGGAGTCCCCATCTCCACTCGGCTCGTCTCTGCCAATCGTCCTGGCCCATTTTCATCAGAACCACCCGCTGCATGACAGACGCGCACTTTTTTCCTTTCTGTACGATCGCCCACTCTAACCGCTCCTGAGGCTAGCTTCAAACAAAATCATTTTCTCTCACAGACGACCCAACGTCCCGGGCCAGTTGAGCCTATCAAAATCTATGCTGGGCTCCATGATTCCACTGTTTACCAGAAAAGACACGACGAAACCAAAATCATGCACTAAAATGCCCCCAAAAAGAAAACAAGAAATAACGCTTCCTTCAACTGTCCCTTGGTTCTGGAACTGCCAGCCAACCGTTTCCCGAACCAACGATGCTACTCGGCTCAATCTAAGCCCATCTTATACATCGTATATTGCTCCCAAGACCATACAAAGACCTCCCCATCCGTTCGATATGCAGCCCCCACTCAATTCAACCCCTCGATTGTACTTTCGGAGGAATCAGAAATCCAATCTCCCCGCTTCCCGGTCTCCTTAGTGGTAATTTTGCCCTTCGAAAATCTTCTGGAAAAACGTCTGAAACTTATCTCGGCTGAAACGCCCATCTCCTCTACTGACCTGGTATGCGCTTGGTACTTTACCATATCCTTCTACCTGTACTGTAATACTCTTCAGAAAGCATCGTCCCTGCAGCTTTCCTCCCGAACGCTGGTTTCCTGCGCGATCCCGGCTGCTCAAGTCCGTTTGGCCAGAAACCCTTCCTGCCAAAAAATACCCAGAAAAATTTAATTGGGCTTTTTGCATGGAGTTTGATTCTACTGCTCTTTTTTCACTTTCTTTGGCTGGAAAGCCTTCAATTGTCAGATCGCTCGTTTTCCTCTGTCATCCCTTTTGTTTCGTCTCCGCGTGGGAGGATATGGGGACATAAGAGACCTCTCGTTCTCTGGCGCGTGTCTTTTGATTGATTTAATTTTTTTTTTTCTTTCTTACATCACTCTTTCGCTTTTCCTCTCAGCCATAAATGAAGGATCAATTGATCTGAATTGTGTATCACGACTCTTGACGACTGCTGTTCGCTGTCCTTTTTCCGGGATCATCTGGGAGGCTTTGTTTGTTTTTCTTCTTCTTCTTCTTCTTCTTTCTTTCACGTTATATTTCTTTTCTTTTCGGAGGGAAAGGGAAGCCGGCTATAATCCGCTTCCATGGTCTGGATATGTCGAATCCATCTGATAGGCCATGGACCGAGGAGGACAAGGTATGGAGATTCTTTGACCGGAGGTGAATTTGATGCTAACCAACAACCAGTACACTCTACTCACCGAGATCCTCAAGAAAGCTGGAATTCCTTCCAGCTATCTAGTACGAATGATTAAAGAATGTGGGATCACTCCAAGCTGGGAGCATATTCCCCTTCCTCAAGGTATTATCGTCCAATTGCCGGCCAAAGCAAAAAAAAAAAGAAAGAAAGAGAAAAAAAACCTTTGCGGATCGATATCAACATGGCGCTAACACCTGCCCCGGTCAAGGCCGTTCACTCAGCTCATGCAAAATGGCCTATCTCAATATGGTTCAGCAGCCCGCGCATCCTCCAACACATCCAGTGGCTCCGTTTGCACCGCGATCCGATATGACCGGCCCGCCAGCCCCAATAGACCCCAGCAATATGCGCAAAAGGCCATTGTATCCTTCCGACAAGCCAATCCCTCGTGCAATCCAGCCAAGACCACCAGCCAGCACCGCCTCCTACAGCAGCGAAAGTGGTGCATCGGCGCAGCTCTCCCCGAGATTAGATATTGGTCCCGGCGAACCACCCCGTAAACGAGGACGTCCAAGCAAAGCAGAGACCGAACGACGCAAGCTCCTAGCCGAGGCCCGTGGCGAAACGTACCCTGCCCCTCGACGGCCCGGGTCTGGTAGACTCAAAGTCCCTCCTTCACCGACCAGCCCCGCGGCAGGCCCATCGTCTACATTATTCCCACCGGCACCCCAAGCATTCCACGGACCCAAGCCAGGCCCAAGCACACTGCTCTACGACACTTCGGCCATGCGCTTAGCTGTTCCACCACCTGGTCCTGGTCCCGCGCCAACTGACGAGCGCCGCGACAGGCCAGCGCGTAACATCGGCGCCAACATGCGCGAGCTACCCCGGCCAACAGAGATGGGCCATCCCCTCCCTTCACCACACGCCTTGCAATTAGGGCCCCCAGGCGTATTCCCTAGACTCAGCAATCCAGCCGAGCGGCCCTACAGTTTCGCAGCAGACCGGTTCTCCCCGCCAGACAGTGGTCGGCGTGACTCGGTCACTAGTCGATCTGACCAGCCACCAGGACCGTACTCGGAAGGGCGAATGAGCACACCAGCCGAGAAACCTCCACGATGACCATTGATTTTGAATATCTTCTTTTTTTATATCGTCATTCTCATTTTCATTTCGATCCCAGTCTCGATTTCTACTTTTCGACTTCGATTTCAGCCTTTGTTTTTTGAGGCCCAAGCGCCATGAATGAATGATCAAGCCATTGATGAACAATAGACAGCGTTTTCGTGTTGTGTTTATTGTGCGCGGTTTTTCTCCAAGCTCTTCAAGCGACCCCTTTCACACCTCCGACTTTACCTCGACAATACACCCCATGTATACCTAACCCCCTCATTTTATGCCCGCGTCTCGGCCTAGGTACTATATACCTAAGGATAGACAACGGGGTGGGGAAAACTTTTCTTTCTCTTCTCTCTTTGTGACAGTGACCTTCATCCATTGATGCGTCCACGAGTTCCCCACGTTCGATGAAGATAACGGCTTTCATATTCTTGATATTCAATAATACTATTGAATCTTCACGCCCCAATTCAAGCAAGCGAGTCCTTCCACTGCTTCCACTCCTGCTTCCCATTCGCCTCCTAGGCAACAATCTCGATTGACTCGCCATACCATCAGGCCATGGCACCTTTTTTTTCCATAATAGGATCGACACTCTATGTGATTAGTACTATACGTGTAGGAGCAGTCGTATTGACTTCTGCTACCGCCTTCCTAATGAAACATACCGTCTTCTTAATTTCATACCGCCTCTCATGCCTTCATTTTTGATTAGTGGATATTTAACCGGCAGAATTTGGGGTGCTAAAACTTTTTCTGCCTCACTGTAATTAATATAAGAATTTTTAGAAACAAAAAAGAGATTCGGCGCGATGTTTATGATTCAAATTACAAAAAATAAATGGCGCCACCCGGAATCGAACTGGGGCTGACACAGGAAATCTGACACGTTAACAAGTTAACACAAGAGACACCACAATGTGTCGTCATACCACTAGACCATGGCACCTATTTATGAAAAGATCACTCCCTATGTGTTAGATAACTCTATATAGACCAGAGATGTATAAGGTGTGAGACTTGGATTTTCTGGAATATTCAATACTTGCCCGTGTCTCAATTGATTCTATAAGGCTTTACCATATAATATGAAATCGTTAAACGAAAAAGAGGTCCCGATGTTTGTACATAAGTTATATGAAAACAAGACTCAAGAATAATAAAGAAATGGCGGAATCGAATCGGGGCGCTGTCACCACAAAGCTACAAGCCCCAAGACAAGACAAGATGTTCAAATTGATGCCCTCGCATCTTTCTTTTTTTCTCTACTTTCTACCTGCCTTTTCTCCCTCCAACCTTATGTCTAGCTTGCTTATGCATTTGATGATGCATTATGTTTATTGCTACGTGGCCATGTTCTTGGAGCCCTTCAATCATTGAGGCCTCTTTACCTTGTAATTTGTCTAACTATACTTCTGATATTTGACGACTTTCTGGTTCCTGTTATGGATTATGGATTTTGGCTTTGTTTAGTCTCTTCTATCTGGACTCTCCTTATGATGTCCCACATTCTTTGCCCTAGTTAATAATGAATCGAGAGTATCAATCCCACACGTTTCAACAAGGATTGCAAATGCAAAAGGATTTTCTTCAACATTGCCATGTTCATTCAAAGAAGCCCGCAGTGCATGTATATAGGCCAAAGAAAATATTAAACAGAAAAACTAGCTGTCTCCTTCGATGCTTTGAATGAGACGCTATCCATACACAAAGAACAAGGAACAAGCCTCACACAATTCTATTCACACACCTTCCAGCCTATCACTCTGTACTACCGGATTTCCCACGAACTCGATCAAGAATTCGCTGCAGCTGTGCCTTGGAGTCACCGCCCCCTCCGTAGACGACACCCCCGTCGCCTCTAGAGAAGACGGTTCAGGCTCGGGTATAGATTGGGACGAAACTGACAGGCGTTTGGGAGGATGAGGGTGAGGGTTGTGTTTCTGCGAGTAATCTTTATCTTTACTTGCATCTCCACTATCATCACGCTGCTCCTCCAGCCCCTCAGCCTGCCGTTTTTGCAGCATCTGTGAGCGCATCGCGCTAACCACAGACCCGAAGCCTGAGGGTGTTCTCGATATCGAAGAAAGAGTGACTTCATCTCCAACCTGAAGATCCAACTCCTTCTCTTTGGCCAGTTTCATCACCTCGGCGCTATTTTTCTCGATCATACGAGTCAGGTACACCTTCGGGCCGGTATCGCGGTCTCTCAGGCTGTGCTTGATGCGGTCTAATTCCTTTCTGTATGCCGTTTCATAGATATTGAAATCCGCAGCACCGGGCGATTCACTAACAAACTGTACCGGCTCGTCGTCTTCCATCTGGTCAGAATGATCCATTGAATGTTCCGGCTCTTGGAAGATAGACGCCGGCTCATCACTAATTTCCATATCCGGTTCCTGGTGCGAGGAGCCGTTGTATGTAGATGGTCCAATAAAGAGGTAGGGGAACTCCTCTTCTAGCGGATCACGGGCATGTCCTCTCGTCCCCTCCAGGCTGCGCTTAGTACCGGAACTTGCTCGTGAGAGGGGGATATGAGGTGATGCCCACTGAGAATGGGATTGAGCTTCTTGACCGATATCTGGTTGAGCTGGGAACTCCCCGTTGCAGATGGAGCCGGAGTCTTTTCGCTCGGGCTCGAACACTCCGCTGGGTCTTTTGCTACTGTTTGGGCTGTGCTCAGGTCGGGATGAAAAGCTGGCTGAATCGCTGGACCCGAAACCACCGGAATTGTCTCGGAATCCGGCAAAAGGGTGTCGGCGGATGACCTTGCGCGTACCTGCAATGCCATGGGCGTTGTTCGTTTGTGGAGCCGCTCCCACTTCTGGGAAGGGTTCATCTGGGTCCATTTCCATCGGTGGCTCGACAAAGTAGGCATCGTGGTCTCCGCCCAGAATACTCTTGCCGAACATACTTTGAATGGGGGATTGTGGTTTGGTGGGATCTGTGAGTCGCTTGAATTTCTTGACGGCTTTCATCTGCGGGCCGTGTTAATGATTATCGTATCGGAACGACGAACAGTAACATACCACGGTCATGAGATGTCCCATGTTTGTTGTAATGGCCGAATTCATCTCCTCCTCTGTCGGAGGCTCAATGAGTTGCGACGTATTCTCTTCAAATGACAGCAAAGGATTCGTCCCATTTTTCGTTACCCAAGGGTGTTCCTGTTGTATCTGGTCAGCATTGGCGAGTATTGTAGTTGCGATTGACTCACTCGTAAACCAAACATGTCAATTCGCTTCTCTGGATCTTTCTCCAGAATGCGTCCTATCAGATCTTTGAATCCTTCATCTGACTCGTCTTCGTAGACCAGGGGATCTCCCCTAATACTATCATACAGTTCGAAGATGCTCTGCTTCTCAAAGGGCAGCTTTCCATATCGCAAACAATATAGAGTTACCCCCATGGACCAGATATCCGTCGCCTTTCCGGATACATCGCCATGTTTGACCACGCACAGCTCTGGCGGGAGAAATGCTGGTGACCCAGCTGACTTGGCAGTGAACATGTCTGAATCTTTTTCAAACATCTCCGATACACCAAAATCGACCACTTTCAGCATATCGTCATTGGTCACCAGACAGTTGTCCGGTTTTATATCTCGATGGACGATGCCCTGCGAATGCAGGTACTCGATTCCCAAGATCAGATCACGGAACCAACATCGACATTGCTCGTCATCATACGGATCTGCTCTCTCTTCCAGCCCGACCTTCATGACAACACCCTTCTTGCACATTTCCATCACCATATACAATGAGTCCTCTGACGGATCGTCCAAGACCTCGATCAACGACACCAGATTGCTATGGTTCAGTTTCTTCATGATTGCAATTTCCTCCTTGATCAGATATAAAGGGTTCTTTGCGGTCTCGTTATCGTCACCGGAAGGATGTCGATGTAACGGCGAGTTGAAATCCGTTCCTGGCCGACTCGGACCTCGCGGTCTTCGCAACAGATGCGACTGCGCACGTTTCCTCAGCCTGGATTTGGAGAATTCCTTGACTGCCTGAATTTACAGATAGTTTACCTAACAGTTAGCGTCTCCATTTCCCCAAGCTGATCAGGCCCATGTCCCGCGGGTTCATGCTCATACATATTCATTTCCAAACTGATCTGCAGCCAGATGGACAGCCCCGAACGAACCACGTCCTATCTCCTGCCTGATCACATATTGGTTGATTCGATGTTCTGCGGTACCGTCATCTTGACTCGTGTAATACTCGGAGCGGGCGTCCAGTGTTTCCTAGTCCGCGGTATCAGTTCTCTCCGAAGCTGTCACAACGGCAGTGGGAGCACCGACCTTCACCGGACGCCTTGCTCTTGGGTTTCGTCGTCGGTGCCTCTGGGTACTGTCATAGGACGCAGTAGACCTAGTTGCAAATCGGGCGTCAGCATGGTACTTCGGCAAAAAATCAATCTCTCGCAGGTGTTTCACAGTCAACCTTACCCAACTCTGTTTGCCTGGGGTCGCACATCTTTCATACCCTCCAGGTCGATAGAGGGCTCTGCGGACATATCCAATATAGGGGTTACCACATTCTCATTCATTGAAATACACTTGACCACCAAGTGCTGGTAGCGTGTGTGGGGTAAATGAGGAAGTTCGGAGCGGGGGTTTTGATAACGTGAGCCGGCTGTCAGCCTTACGAGGCCCTCTTCCTGCAAGGATTGGACACGGACAGAGTAAATGGTACTAAGCCTTATGGTATAATTAAAGAAAAAATCCAGTCGAATCGGAAAGAAATTCTAGGCAGCTCCTTTTTTGATATGGGCTTTTGTTATCGATACGGGAGCTAATTTCACCGCCTCTCGGCCTCGGAACTCCCCTGAACATCAACATCTACTTGTTTCAAGGTAACATACACAATGGTCGTCTACTCGTTCTACATCTTTGATCGGCACGGTAAATATCCTGTTATATAATTGAATGAACTTTATATGCTAACTGTCATCCAGCGGAATGCATCTACAAGCGCCGCTGGCTTCCGCGGCCGACCTCCATCGTGGGGAAGTCTAGGTCTGACACAGTCTCCGGCTCAGCACCGATCGGTCTGGGCCAGACAGTGCGATCCACAGACGATGATTCGAAGCTAGTATTTGGCACAGTCTTCTCGCTGCGGAATATGGTGCGCAAGCTAGGGGGCGAAGAGGACAAGTAAGACTGCCCCTGAAGCAAGCCAGACAGGACCTGCTTGCAATACACAGGCGAAGCCGATACTAACCGACCTAGCTTTGTGTCATTCACCACCAGCCAGTACAAGCTGCACTACTACGAGACACCGACGAATACCAAGTTCGTCATGCTGACGGACATCAAGAGTCCCAGCATGCGCATCGCGCTGCAACAGATTTATATCAATCTATTTGTCGAATATGGTTCGTGTGGTTTCTTGATCTCGTTTGGTAGGCTCGGACAGTGCTGACTCGATTCGATCTCTTCAGTGGTTAAAAATCCCCTTTCTCCGACCGAGCATCCCGGCGGTGTGGGCGTGAACAACGAGCTATTCGAAGAATCATTGGAGCAGTTTGTGGTACGTACATTTTAGTTCTGGCATACTGCCTTCGTTGTTGACTTGTGTGTTCTGATCTGGTAGCAGACTCGAGTTCTGTCATGATATCGAATTGGGTATCCCTCCCGGAACCTGGAGGTCAGTTCGCGCGAGCGAGTCCACGCGAAGGAAAGTCCATACGAAGGAAGAAAGTCCATGCGAAGGAAGAAGAAATTCCACGCCAAGGAAGGGAAAAGCGACAGTATTTCACCGCTGGGGCCTATCGACGTTAGCACGTACAAATCGGGTATCTCGAAGGCGTGAGAACGGCATGGCTGCATAGCTGCAATCGAGCGCACACCGCAACGGACTCGCCCGTTGTCACGCACACTGTTCTACGGGCACCTGCATGTAACAGCATTTGCTGAGAAACGAAATTACCGCAACCCAGCACCGAAGCCAAGCATGACAGGGGTATCCATACCGCCTTTTCATGTATGGCTGCCATTCAATGATAACAGTTGCCTTCCCACGTGGCATTACCAGCGCCACTAGTACCCTGTGCGCCGGGAATATGACGGGGCAGAGTGTCCCGGGGGCCGGCCCGCAAATAGCTCGGCTGTTGCATATCAAGTGCTATCAGCCAGGAACGCTGAACGGAGCTACTTGTTACTGGTGTTCGGAAAGAGTCGGAAGAATCGATTACTGGAAAACGCAATATCTACGTTAATTGTCTCACTAATAGGCGCAATATTAAGTTTCCGGCCTCGACATGCCTGTTCATAGTAAACCTGGGGTATAGAACGTATAAATCAAAGAAATACCGCAGCCACCAACAACGCCGTGAAAGTATCCAGACTAGACGCGGGTCTAGAGCCCCAACCATGCTCTTAAATCCGAGCAGCTATAGCCAAGAAGCACTGCCAAGAATCAGCTTTCCCAAGCGGCCCAGCGTGACCCGACAAGCCGATAGGTGGTGACTCGAGGATCAAGTGATATAGATAGATCATACAACAATAATTGGATCTTAGAATTGCCTCTTCTACCTAATGCAAGAAAAAGCAAATCTCAATGCATATTGCAACGCCGTAAAAAAAACAAAAAAAACAGATACCCACAGCTCTCAGTTTCAGGTGAGATCGTCCCCATCCTGCATGACTTGGCTAAAGCACAGACGTCCACACATACAGGTTTAGCACAACGTCCACAGATACGGGATAATAGATGCCAACGACAAGCTCCGCCCCCCTCCTATTCACGGCTCTCTTGCTCCGCATCTAAAATGTGGTAGTTTAGTGGATACCATCGACACATGCATGCACGGAAAACAAAACAGGATGCCACAGCTTATCTCAAGCTCGGACTATCCTGTAACGCTAGAGTGTCGCAATGCAAAGCCGACCAATCCTATAACTTTACTGCTGTAGTGTCTGCCTGCAACTACAAACTGGCGGTCAAGCATACCCCGGCTTGAATCGGAATTTGGGTTGCAGCCGGTATTGGTGGCTTTGTGGTTGTTTTTACACTTATACTGACGGAGAGTTCCCATCAACTGACTCGATCCCTACCTACCCCATGAACGGGGGTTTTATTGGATGTGATCTCCAAGATCTCAGCTTTACTAAAGCCATGTCACCAAGGTTGCCACGATTTAGTCAATCGTCTTCTCTTGGGAGCAACTGCGTCTAAGAGTTCGTATACGCATGTCGAATAGCGATCCGAGCCGAATCAGCGTATCTGAATACTTTGATGGAGGGTTGGACTTTGTGTACTATAGGAGCAGTCTATTACTACCATAAATGCGTGTAATGGTAACTCAGGAGATTGGATAAGAAACATTGCGGCCAAGAACGGATTATATGGCTTCTGCATTGGCGTAGAGACAGGCGCCACGGCGGAGACCTGGCCCTAATGGGTTCTCCTTTTAGGGTAAGACCAAAAAGAAAGGAAGAGCCCAAAAGTGTATTATAGAGATCAATTGTGAAAGCATTGTCAATTGCGTTGTGCATGTGGCTATCAAAGGCGATTACCATAAGAGTCATAGTATACAACTTATGGGGGCGAAGTGTGGAGTACCGAAAAAAACGATAAGCTAGATGTTCAGCCCACAATGAACTTGAATCCATGGTTTGTTGGGTTTTTGTTCTCGATCTAGGAACAAGGGGGAAACACCTTTAGAAACCCCTGAAAATGAGATCAAAGGAAACGGGAGAAATGCCAAAAGTAATTGAATTTACAAGTATTGCATATAATATTCCATAGTCTACATAAAGGAAGGTGGGATTGGAATATGAGGGGTCTTTGGAGATATTGACCTGTAAGTGCATATAAGATAGAAGGCTTGGTTATATGCGCTGTACATCGCATGCATGCCTTTGTGCGAAATTAAGATGGGGTTCCTCTTAGGGTTGTGATTGGTGAGTGAAAATCCCTCGTCCTTAGTTCTGGATACGGAAGCTTGTGTGAGAAAGTGGAAACGCTGTTTTTGTGATACAGGTATTGTATTTTGGCCTTTCTCTACATCTTATTCTATAATTCCGTGTCCCGTTGCCGAGGTCAGGGAGGTCAGGACCTCACGGGCTGATTCGGAAACCAACAGTAATCCGGGGTAAAAAGGAACATTGAATAACATTATTGAATATACCGCTAGCTACTACTTGGGAACTAGCTCGGAAACAAAGCCCGGGTTCAACGCGAAGCTCCTGCTAGTATGGAAATCCTGTCAAGAATTCCCCACACAGAAGCACCAGGGAAATTGCATCCGAAGAGACGGTGAACATTCCGCATTCCACATTCCAATAATAAGGCTGACATGTTGTCGTGATAGGTCCCAAGAGAGAGCGATATATTCTATCCAATACTTTTCAATTGAACAAGTTCATATTAGTCAATCTGCACCACCTCGCCCATATCCATCCCCAAATGCCGTCATCTAGCCGAATGACGCTAGATAGCGGAAAGCTGTTCTCCATCGTATTCCCCTATAACGTACTAGAGCAGTATGTACGTTGTACATCGCTGCGGGGGCATCTCATCGCACGGAGACCCCACGCGGTTTCCATGATCCCGATGGAGATATGTGCATGATGTGATCGACTATTACGGCGAAGCGATCGTCTGGCTATCACTGACAGGAATTAGTGTTCAGAAATGGGTTGATACGATCTGAACGTTGAAAGTAGAGCACGGGTATAAACGGAGGATCTGACAATTGGTTGCAAGGTGATTTAGGATTTACGAGGACAGTGTCCTTTTTTGAGGAACTAGGATTAGTGAGCAAGGTTTCATGACCCGGATGACATATGTAGAGAATGGTCTGATCTTCTTACTATGTATACTATCATTGTACAAACAATCCCAGAGTATCCCAGAGAGATCAGAATCCAATCATATCGGATGAATGGATAATAGCTTCGAGAGGTACCCCTCGCTACGGTACAGGGCCTCGGGATGACTACACGCCACACTGTGCACCCAGCGCATCGGCTGGTGCGGGGCCTGCTCGAATCACGACTGGGCCTGGTTGTGCAGATTGCACAGCCTCAATCCTTTGATGTGGTGGCGGAACTATCAAAGCTACTTGTGTATTGCTAATATTCTAGAGATATCCGTGTGTACATTTGTAATAGGATATAATAGGACGTAATAGGATATAATAGGATGTAATAGGATAGAATAGGATATAATAGTATGGAAAGACGTCAGCCAACGTCATTTATAGGCTGTATATAAAAAATAATATGGGGACATATAGAATACATGTATTTCTTAATCTTCACACGGAGAAGGACCTAGTTCCAGGGTTCCCGATGAAAAAACCTGTACTTATTATACTATTACTACTTCCTTTCATTACACATTAAATCTCTCACTCCGACCTCGGGAATTCATTCCATCTGAAATTGTACGCCACTTTTTAAAGAATGTGTGCTAAACAAATATCTAGCCCTAGATGTATCTAGACCTTAGGGTCTCACAGCGCCGGAGTCGCCGTATGCAGTATGTAGCCCTATAGGTCAAAACCAGAATCGTGAAAGCATTTTAAAGCATTATTAATCGAGGGTAACCTCCAGGGCTGTACCGTTGCAGTGTCCACATTTTCCCCCTTCTCTTGGAGTTTCATTTATTTCTTTTCATATTATAATATCTTTTTTTTATGGGTTTCGCTATGTAATATATTACTCCGTAATTCCCCATACAAGATTTCCCGTATTTCAAGTTTAGTATCGCCAAATTTATCCCACTTGCTTCCCACTTGCTTCCCACTTGCTCTTTATTATTTTTTTAATTTTCTTTTTCTCTCTCTCCTCTTTTATCGATCCTCTATATACTCCAGGGACCTCCTCGTCGGAGAGCATCATTTTGGTGTGTGGTTCCTTCATACCTCTTTGTGTCGTCACCTGCCCTTGTTGCCTCAGGCCACAAAAGACTAGGCCTACATTTTTTTTTTTTTTTGCCTCTCACTTCTCTTTATCCTTACCATTAAGATCATTTCGAATCGCAGCTGCGAGCTGTAGACGCTCGTCTTCCAATCTGGGGAGCATTTCGTATCCCACCCCTCATTCTTCCAAAAGTCACCTCTTGATCCACCGCACATGACTCCACCTTCCCCTTCACCTGTGCCTTCCACAGTCTCTTCCGCTGCAGCTTCACAACATTCATATGACCCTCGGGATGGAGATGCTTCGGTAACACAAGCCATTGCGGGCATGAACCTGGCTGCCCACGCAAAAGGAGACCACCTCCCGGCAACCTCTCCCGCCAAACCGACTAGAGCTACCATGGCATCTCGTCTCACGCGCATGTTCTCCAGCTCAGGGAAAAACTCCCCGAGAGAGCATCATGAAGGTCCTCGTGACCTATCGGATAGTAGCTTAGAAAGTATCCAGCCTCTCAACGGCAGGACCTCCAAGCCATCATCTCAACCCGCCTCCAGACCTCCTTCTAGACCTCCCTCAAGAGGAGAGAATTCTCGGACACCATCTCGAAACCCATCACTCAAGGGTGAACACGCCGTCGCCGTGGAGAAGACTGATAAGAAGAAGCCGGATGATAAAAAGACCAAAGATGGAGCCCCAGTCCACAAGCGATTTGAGGTTCTGACGGAAGCTCTTGGAAACCACTCGCATAACCTCAGAAGTGCTAGACGGCAAGAGAAGCTTACCGATCTACTGCGGGATATGCTGGGTGGCCGGAAAAAGGACGACCAGGTGGATGAACAACAGCTCTCGCTGATGTCGACCTGGATTGATCAGTTCAAGACGGAACGTGATAAGCTGGCTGCCGATAAAAAGGGTGGCCCGAATGCCACTGCTTCTCTGGTTGACAAGTACGGCAAGTGTCAGGAGATTGTGGGCCGTGGTGCTTTCGGTATTGTGCGCATCTCACACAAGGTCGACCCTCAAGATTCCAAGTGTGAACAGCTGTATGCTGTCAAGGAATTCCGCCGCCGGCCCCAGGAAACGACTAAGAAGTATCAAAAACGACTGACTTCTGAATTTTGCATCTCATCCTCACTTCGTCACCCAAACGTCATTCACACTTTGGACCTCTTGCAAGATGCCAAGGGAGATTACTGTGAAGTCATGGAATACTGCGCTGGTGGTGATCTGTACACCCTGGTCCTTGCTGCTGGCAAGTTGGAAGTCGCCGAAGCCGACTGCTTTTTCAAGCAGTTGATGCGGGGTGTTGAGTATATGCATGAAATGGGTGTCGCACATCGCGATCTCAAGCCCGAAAACTTGCTCTTGACCACCCACGGTGCACTCAAGATTACCGACTTTGGTAACGGTGAATGTTTCCGTATGGCCTGGGAGAAAGAAGCCCATATGACCGCCGGACTCTGCGGTTCCGCTCCCTATATCGCCCCAGAGGAATACGTCGAGAGGGAATTCGATCCCCGAGCGGTTGATCTCTGGGCCACTGGAGTAATCTACATGGCCATGCGCACCGGACGGCATCTTTGGCGCGTCGCGCGCAAGGACGAAGACGAATTCTACCAGCGGTACCTAGACGGTCGCAAGCATGAGGATGGATACGCTCCAATTGAGACGTTACATCGGGTAAGAGCAGCTAATCCCCTTCCTGCGGCTGCAGGGCAAAAACTTATGACTTCTCAGGCTCGTTGTCGCAACGTGATTTACTCTATTCTTGATCCCAATCCTTCTCGCCGCATCAACGCCTCACAGGTTCTCAAATCCGAATGGGTACGCCAGATCAAGCTGTGCAAGGCCGGTGAGGAAGGGTTTTGATTGTTTCAACACGAAAATTATCAGGCGTCGAGGTCACAGGCCCGCTCCTTAAGGTTTGATAGCACCGAAACTATCTTACGTTTGCATCACAGGGTGGTTATTTATCATCAACCCATTCGAGGAGAGGCTTACTGATTTTGATCCTTCGAATGCTCCTAAATTAGAAGGAGGCCCTTATGAAGGTTTTTATTTTGCCTTGTTTTATCCTGTTTGGCTCCGGCGCATTTACACTGTATCCCCTCAGCCTCTTCAGCCTGTGCTCTATTACATCGATCCCATCTTTTAGCTTGTCTTTTTGTCTGGATCCTCATGTCTTCAACGTCAATGCAACGATGAATCATGACCCTTTTCTTTTGATCCAGTTTTCCTTTACGATTCGGAGTTTCTTCTCGTCCGGGTTTCGCGTTACGGATTTTCGGCAGATATCTTCAAGTTTCTACGGCGTTGGCGGGCAATTCCCCATTTGAGTTTTTTTCCTTGTACCACTATGACAAGCCCAGCTTTAGCGGGCGAATATGGGCATACTCGGGTCGCGGGTCCTGTTGTTCCTGGGGATTATATGATTGTAGGCAGAGGCTGCCCGCAACAGCAACAGGAACAGATATTGGCGCCTGAGTGGGATGTCCAGCACTGGAGGTTGTCTGAACCTTTTTTTACTTTTGGCTTTTCTTATTACGTCGTCGAATTATAGTACATATTCCCGATGCTTTTTGTACATACGGCTTAGGCATTTTGAATTTCTGTTACATGTGACTTGTTCTACGTAGCAAGGTGCACATTTATCCCAGCATAGGTTGGTCTCAAGGTACTATTTCTAAACTCCAAGTTCACAATCTACAGCCCCCATGCGACTATGACATCAGGGCGAAGATCGGCGTCTCTCGGACCCAATGCGAGATCCACCAAGTGTCACCGAGACGATCAGTACAGTGCAGTAGATTAGGCCCGATATTTATCCAATATACCTGTGATATCATTCAACCTGTATCTTCCGATGATAATCATCCATGCATCCTACGCTAGAAAAACATGAGACCCCAAACACTCTGATACAATCGCGTGTCACATACCAGACTAGCGTCTAATTATTCTCACATGCGTCTTATGACTAATTATTGTACATATCTTCTGTATGCAACTCGGTAATATATGCAGCTAAAGAGGTGGATTTGAACTTCTGCAACTCCCTTCACCCAAGTGCCGACCCCAAAAGGAGTCCTGAGTGCAACTCGAACAAACTCTAGGCATTTGTCATTTGTTCACATATTTGAACTTGGCGCTTGTCATATAATTGCCAAGAACCGCACATAACACAGTTTCTTAGGCATCAGCATTACGGCCTGGGCGAAGTGGATAAGAATACCTCAATATGCACATGCCATGCAGGCGTATTTCAGTGGATGCAAAGCCCAGCCTTACACTTATGTTATGGATGGGGTAATTCTGGTAGTTTTCCGTTATCTCTTGATTACTCGCCTACCAGCGTTAAAGCGGCTATATGCAGCAGGTTGGAGTTGGAATGTCACAACATGATATCGACACCTGATATATACCTTGGCATGGTTTACCTAGTATTACCAGATCATGTATTTTTACACAAGAACCCCCCCCCCCCCCCCCCCCACCAAACAGTCCCTAGCAGAACCTGAATAATGCAACGCTGATGTAGACTCCAGCCCTACCAAACATGACGTATCCGCATCCGGAAAGCATGACATAAGCAGGACCCAGCCACACACAGCCACACAAACCCACAAGGCAGAACAAGTCGGTTACTCTTGGCATTGGGTTCAGGACCTCCATGACTTTCCCTACAGCTTAACCCTAGACATTCTTATCAGCTATAGTCATCTGCAACCGCCCACCTTCGATTCTATACCCACTTACACCCCATAACCCACACCAACTCGAAGCCGATCCCCATCTCCGGGTCCTCCGAAGCACACCGCCACCATGTCTTGGGCAGGTACGCCTCATCCCAAAATCCTCGGACTCATGAACCGGTGCCAGTCTGAGCGAATCTAACTGGATGGATGGATAGGGTTCAAAAAGAATGTCAACCGTGCGACGACGCAGGTGATGATGAAGACGGGTGAGTTTGTCGAGTTCTACCCCGCAATGAATCGAGAGAGCGCGATCGGATACGATCCCCGATGGAGATACGCGCCACCCGCTACGATTTAATTGCCGCGCCATATGGATTTGAATAGCATGCTGAATTGGTCATTGTTCAGGGCATGTCGAGAGAACGAATGATCGCGATTATGAGATTGAGGAACGGTATGGTTGTCCTCGCTGCTGCCTGTGGATGGTTGCGGGACTGAAACTAATGTTGCTCATGACAGGCGGTACCGGACTATGGAAACTGCTGCAAACCGATTGCAGAAGGAGGCAAAGGGATATCTGGATTCACTACGAGGTTGGTGACCTTTTGCTTTGCGGATTGGATCTGGTTCAGTTGGCTGACTCTTCCCAGCCATGACGGCGTCCCAAATGCGCATTGCGGAGACTATTGATGCCTTCTACGGCGATGCGGGAACAAAAGATGGTGTGAGCCGGAGCTACAAGCAAGCCGTTGAGGACCTTGATGCCGAGACCATCAAGGCTCTGGATGGACCATACCGGTAGGAGATCCTTGTTTTACTGACAAACACACTGAGTGGCGCTGACAGAATCCAAAGTACCACCGTCCTCGACCCCATTTCCCGATTCTGCGCCTACTTCCCCGACGTGAACGAATGCATCAAGAAACGTAACCACAAGCTACTAGACTACGACGCCATGCGTGCCAAGGTCAAGAAGCTAGCCGAGAAGCCCGACAAGGATGTCACCAAGCTGCCGCGGACCGAGCGTGAAGCCGAGATGGCCAAGCAAGCCTACGAGCAGCTGAACGAACAACTCTTCAACGAACTTCCCCAACTTATCGACCTACGTGTGCCTTACCTCGACCCCAGCTTTGAAGCTCTCGTCAAGATCCAGCTGCGCTTCTGTGCGGAAGCGTATTCCCGTATGGCGCAGGTGCAGCAGTATCTGGATGCTGAGACTCGCGACCAGTATGCCAAGGGTGATCTGGACAACCGGGTTGAGGAGGTGTTGCAGGAGATTCGCGATTTGAGCATAGCCGGAACCGTTTGAGCTGTTCTTTTAACTACTCTATTAGCATAATACCGGATGTTTCTTTGCTGCGCTGAGATCTGTGCAACAGACTCGTGCTTCTTTTTTTCTTCTTCTTTGCTTTTGTCGATAAGATTATCGGCAACTATTTCCATGGCGTTTTCTATGTATATGATTAATACATGAGCTAACTTTGAACATTGCTCTTCATCACTTTCTTCAATTCCATGTCTTCGCCTGCGAATATGAAGCAATCATATATAACCAACAATTATTGATGGGGAGGGGGTATATTTTATATTGCACTCCAACAAAATCCGTAATATACACATCACCAAAAGCCAAACATCAAACCTTCCCAGCAGGTCTCAAAAGCTCATCCCGAATACTAACCACCACAGGCATCGCCGCAGCCTGATAAGCCTTAAGCTCCTTATCAGTAACAGTCTTGAGCACATAATCCGAAACAGCCTTCGTCTCATGCGACGTCGGCCGTCCAATCCCAAGACCAATCCGCAAGATCGATAAATCCGCCAATGGCCCCGAAACACTCTTACTCGCAGCAGACGAACGCGGATATAATCCCTTCTTGCGCAGCGTCTCACAAATACTAATAAGACCACGATGACCACGCAAACTAAATCCCTCAGGCCCACCGTGTATAACGCGCACCTTGCCTTGAGCAATGGATAGTTCGTCATGGAGGATGACGAGTGTTGTTGGGTATGTAGGTGGTGCGGGGTTGTTTGTGGTTGACGAAGAACGAGATGCGACGTTGGCGATTCTTTCAAGACGGTTTGCTCGCTCTGTCGCCCATTGTTCCAGTCGACGCACGAGTTTCGGGCCTGATTCGTTCATGTAGGCTGGACTTTGCCAAGTTTCATGGTAGAGGCCTGTGTTTGGCATTGCGGTTTCGAGGAGTGGTTTTATGGCGTCGAGGAGGATGTGGCCGGCGCTGTGGCGGGTTTTTTGGTAGGGGGCTGGATTGCCTATTGAGGCTATGAAGAGGAGGCGGCGGGGAAGGATTTCCATATTTGTAGGAGGGGCGTGGTGTATGATGTATCTTGTATATTGTCCTGTAGGTATTCTTTTTTTCTTCTATTGTCATTGGTTCAGGTACGGAGATCGTCTCGTGACTTGGCTGATATCGGCGATAAGAGACTGTTTATCTCCGTGTTTATACAGTTCGTTGTTTTGACTAGACCTTTGTTAATTCAACGAGTACAGATCAAATATGTCTGGAAGAAGCTCGAGACAATCCGGTTTTATTTGGAAATACAATGTTGAATTGCAAAATCCCAAAACTTGACGTACCAGCCTGACAAATTCCAGTCAATAAGAGTCACTTTAAAGTCAGCGCCTCTATTGTTGCAGATCTCTATGGGTTAAAACACTTCGATAGTTCTTGAGAGTGCGATTGGTAATTTTTTGAAATAAGCGGGTGTACTGCGGTGACTATGTTTGGCTTAACTTTCTAGTATTCCTTGATTCATCTATTCTTATCCATGAACGGCCCGGAAATAGTTGGGTGGTCATCTAGCGTTGACAAAACTAGCGTTGACAAAACACCATCGATGTGGGCGTGTCATTCAAGTTTTCAAATTAGCCGGTGATGGTATTGTTCATAGTTCAAGGGTCTCTTTGATCCGCTCGCTGACCGTCGTCTTTTCGGCTGATGTGAGCGACGGTAGTAGTTTTTGCAAGTCGGTTCTAGGAATGAAATTCACAATGTTATATCTTTTCTGGGTTTCTGAATTGACAAAGTTGGCGTAAAACCTTTGACACAGAAACCCTGCTGTTGGCTGCAATAAATTCCATGTCCTCTGCTTCTAACGGTGGAATTGCATATCCGATCTTAACGGCGAAGCATTCCTTCACTTGGACCACTTTAATAGCATTTGCTCGTATACTGAGGACATCGGTCGACGCCTCAACCTCGGTAGCAGTTGGTAGGTTAAGGGTCGAATGCATCTCGTTGGTCATTAAGATGGAGCGGATCGACTTGGATGAACCAAAGGATGCACTATCACGTCAAGTGACAAAATATTATCGGCCTCGTACGCCTTGGGAGGAAATAGATGAATAGCCAATGAATGTCTTTGTATAATTAACCAATCCAGGAACCGGCGTGGCCTCTGGCTTGTAGGATACGTGAATTTTGTCCATTGCAATGAAACCAGACAAGCTTTTGGATATAACTCCCCTTGAACCCCATGCAAAACTAAGAAAAATAACATAAAGAGACATTTACAGTTGGAACAGAGTTCTCGTCTTCTCCATTCCACCCTTCCATTCCCACTCCTGTCCACTGGCACGCTGGATGCCCTTGTCAACACGACGAAGCTTCAAAGTGAAACGAGGTCCCAGTTCCTGCAAACCAGTACGGATACCCTCGACACCCGTCATTTCCTTGCCGTCAGCACCAACGACAGCCTTCTCGGTCTCACGCTTCTCACGGAAGACGTAGCGGTGACGGCGGACGAAGATGTAATCACGCTGGTTGTGCAGGGTGACAACCTGTCGGCCCTCGAAATCTGGCTGGGGTGGGAAGAGTGAGCGGAACAAATGCGCAGTCAGAAGACCGAGAGGAGTGCGGAAGTTGTTAAGGATCAGCTCGGGCCAGTGCTCGGTGGCTTTGCCGTGTCCCGGAAGACGCTTTCCATCGATCCAGTTGCTGATGGTGAAGTGGAAAGTCGGGCCGACTGGCAAGTGTACCATAGTTAGCCCAGAGGGCTTCTTCTGGTCCTCATTCAACACGACGACGGTCGTGAAATTACGGTTTGCGGCGAATTTGGAAATCTCGCGAATGGAGAACTTGTGAGAGTACCGGTGTGCATTACGTCGGATATACACGCTGTTTGGGAAGATCTCGGTCAGAGTCTCGGCTTGGTCATGGAGGGTAGAGTTGAGGCCGGTGGTGATAAGGATTTTCGGGGTGGGCGGGGGTCCCTCGGTGAAGAGTGTAGGGAATTTAGCAGCCAATGCTTCAGGAGCGAGGCTAAGGTTTGTGCTTCGTGTGGACTGGCTGGGACTTGTGGCACGCTCTGTCGCAGTAGGGAGAGAGGCCTTTTTCCGGCCACGGCTGGCCTTTTTGTCTCCGTCCTCATCCTCATCCTCATCTTCATCTTCGTCGTCGTCTGATTCGAGCATACTGTCGACTGACTCGTTGTCAGACTCCGGAGCCTCACTGTCATCCTCGCCCTCTTCCAATGGCCGGTTGAGCTCGTCTTCTTCTTCCTTCTTGGCGCGCTTGATGCGCTCAACGTCAACGCTCAATCCCAGACCGGTTTCTTCGGTGTCGTTGTCGGGTTCGTTCCAGACACGTTTCCGCTCAAGGGTCAGAGGAATGTTGCGGCGAAGTCGTTCTTCCTTCAACTGGGGGTTCTTTTGTTCTTCTTTCTTGAAAGCGTAGCGCTCTTCTCGGCGCGCAGCATCTTTGGCTCTCTTGCGCTTGACATGGTTCATCTTCCGGCGGATCTTGTTGGCGGTTTTAATATCGCCCATGACGCCCGGAGGCGGTCCTGATCGGCCAATGGGACCCATTTTTGAAAGCTGAGAGGGTAGAGTGCTGCTGTTGAAGGTCAATGGAAAATGTAAAGATCGCCGAGAAATAAATTATTTCGGACAATTGTTTTCCCGGAGCGCCAATCTGGCAATTCGACCTTGTGACTTGGAGACCTCCTTTTTAGAAGGAAAATAAATAAAAAAAAGAAAAAGTGAAAAGAGAGAACCAATTGGTTGCTCTCTCTCGTTCTATACCCCTGTCCTTAATCCTCTCGGTGGTGTCTGAGGGGCTGCATAGTGGATGACTCAATTGCCGCGTCTGCGATTTCCCCCCCGCTCTTTTCTTTCCCCTCCGTCTTTCTTTCGGACTCACTTTAGGACCTACACCCCTCCCCCGAAGACCTCGAAACGAAACGCCAAGATGGCCACCGTCAATACCAAAACCGGCCAGTCTATCGACCGGACGGTGCTGGACTCCATGCTCCGCCGCCGCATGTTCTACACCCCCTCCTTCGAAATTTATGGTGGTGTCTCTGGTCTGTATGACTATGGCCCACCTGGAACCGCCCTGATCGCCAACATGACCGACTTGTGGCGCAAGCACTTCGTGCTCGAGGAGGACATGCTCGAGGTCGACACCACCATGTTGACCCCCCACGAGATCCTCAAGACTAGTGGGCACGTTGACAAGTTCGCCGACTGGATGTGCAAGGACCCCAAGACTGGCGAGATCTTCCGTGCCGACCATTTGGTTGAGGAGGTGCTCGAGGCCCGCCTTAAGGGAGACAAGCAAGCGCGTGGCGAGACAGTTGTGGTGGATGAGGAGAAGGAGGCCAAGAAGAAGAGAAAGGCCAAGGGCACCGAGGCTAAGAAGCTGGACGATGCCCTTGTCAAGGAGTACGAGGAGACCCTCGCACAGATTGACAACTATGGTGGTCCCGAGTTGGAGCAGCTCATCAAGAAGCACGACATCCGCAACCCCGTCACCGGCGGCGAGGTGCTGCCTCCGGTCTCCTTCAACCTCATGTTCCAGACCTCCATTGGCCCCAGCGCCAACATGCCCGGCTACCTGCGTCCCGAGACCGCCCAGGGTCAATTCCTGAACTTCGCTAAACTTCTGGAGTTCAACCAGCAGTCGATGCCGTTCGCCTCTGCCTCCATTGGCAAGTCGTTCCGTAACGAGATTTCCCCCCGCGCGGGTCTCCTGCGTGTGCGCGAGTTCCTCATGGCCGAGATTGAGCACTACGTCGACCCAGAGGGTGGCAAGAAGCACGCTCGTTTCGATGAGATCAAGGATACTGAGCTGTCCTTGCTCGACCGTAACGTGCAGCTGTCCGGAAGCACCAAGCTGACCAAGATGACTATCGGTAAGGCCGTTGAGACCGGACTGGTCGATAACGAGACTCTGGGCTATTTCTTGGCCCGCATCCAGTCCTTCCTGCTGAAGCTGGGTGTTGACCCCACCAAGCTGCGCTTCCGTCAGCACATGGCCAATGAGATGGCTCACTACGCTACTGACTGCTGGGATGCTGAGTTGCAGACCAGCTACGGCTGGATCGAGTGTGTCGGCTGTGCTGACCGCTCCGCTTACGATCTGACTGTCCACAAGGATAAGACCGGTGCCCCTCTCGTGGTGCGCCAGGCCCGTGCCGAGCCTCTACGTATCGAGGAGTACCAGATTGACCTCGAGAAGAAGAAGTTCGGTCCTCGATTCAAGAAGGATGCCAAGACCGTCGAGGCAGCCATTGACGCTCTGTCCCAGGAGCTGCGCGAGAAGCTGTCTCTTGACCTCGAGAAGAATGGCAAGATTGAGGTCGATGTTGAGGGTGTTGGATCTGGCAAGGTCGAGATCGAGAAGGACCTGATCAAGATTGAGAAGCGTACTCGTGTTGACAATGTCCGCGAGTATACTCCCAACGTGATCGAACCTTCCTTCGGTATTGGACGTATTCTGTACAGTATTATCGAGCACTCCTATTGGTCCCGCGCCGGTGACGAGACTCGTGGTGTAAGTCTTCCATTTTGTGTTTTGTTGCCATGAACGCTAGTACTGACGATACTCTATAGGTCCTTTCTTTCCCTCCCGCTGTTGCCCCCACAAAGGTCCTGCTGGTTCCCCTCTCCACCCACGCCTCCTTCAAGCCTCTGACCCAGCGTCTGACCGCGAAGCTGCGCAAGGCCGGTGTCTCCAACCGTGTCGATGACTCTTCCGCCAGTATCGGCAAGCGTTACTCCCGTAACGACGAGTTGGGCACACCCTTCGGTATCACTGTGGATTTCCAGTCCGTTCAAGACGGAACTTTTACCCTGCGTGACCGTGATACCACTAAGCAGGTTCGCGCCACCGAGGACGAGATCTTGCAGGCTGTCAAGTCGCTTGTTGAGGGCGACGAGACATGGGAGGATATCCGCAAGCGCCTGCCCGAGTTCACTTCCCAGGAAGTCGAGGCTTAGAATCCCTAGAGTGCATGATAAAAATATTATTTACTTTTTTTCCCTTCTCATCTTCTTCTCATATCAATTAAAGTAGAACAGTCCTATAGATCTATAACAATATAGTTTCGCACATCACGCTAACCAGGCACGGCATGCCCAGCCATCGGGCCACGCCAAGAATCCGGGGCATCTCCGTCATCTGTCCTCTTTCCACTTTACCTTGTCAACAACAATGGCTCCCACAGTACACTCCGCCAAATTGACACTCTCGTGTCCGCTCTTCGCTGCGGACTTTGACCCACGCGACAACAGTCGACTCCTAGTCGGCGGCGGAGGCGGCGAAGGGCGTAGCGGAGTTGGAAACAAGATCGCAAGTCCCACCATTTCGAGAAAATCTTTCGAAGTGCAAATGCTAAATGTTGTTTTCTATATAGTCTCTACTTGACACATCGCATCGCAACGAGATCACCGAGGCCGTTGAACTGAACCTATCGCGCGATGAAGACTCGGTAACGTCACTGGCTGCGGCCCCGCTGGCTGGCGACGAGGCGGGCTCTCTTGTTGCTCTGGCTGGTATCAATAGCTCCGTGGAGCAACAGAAGAAGAACAACAATCAACATCTTCGCGCGTTTCGGTTTGAGGTACCGCGAAAGACCACCGCTGTTGCTGCTTCGAGTACACAGAGCGCCCAAGACAGCGAGAAGGCGAAAAAGGACACCCAGTCTGAGGAAGAGGTTACACCCGGAAAGGCTATAGCTTTGTCGCAAGCATCACTCTTCCGAACGAAGAACGGGCCAGGCTCTTCAGATACATACCAGCGAGTGACGAGACTCTCGCCGTGGCCGAAAGGGAAGGATGGTACCGAGAAACACACACGGATCGGAGCCGTCGCGACTGGACTAGCACAATCCGGTGAGATTGTGTTCTTCTGCGCCACAGAGAAGCCCAGCGAGAAGGATATCATTGGCCGCATCCAACTAAGCGGCAATGAAGAGGCCGAGGATCTGGACTTTGTCAGCCTCGAACACGACCTGGAAAAGACCGACAATGCACACGGCCGTTTCCTTATGGCATATACCAACGGCGCGGACGTCATGGTCGGCGATATCTCATCCTCTACCCGTTCTAACAGCTCGCCCGACGTCCGCTCTGTCTATACCATTCCTCTACCCGCTAGCGGAACCCGCACAGCACGGTCCAAGATCCGCGCGCTGCGGTTCCTCTCGCCCAGGGTCCTACTCCTTCTCCAAAACGCCCCGAACCGGGGTGGAAGCGAGCTCGTCCTCCTTCAACTCCCCAGCTCCGAATCGAGCAAATCCAAAATTCTACGACGTCGCAAGCTCCCTCGAACCGTGAAGATCGGCCTAGGACTTGATATCTGCCAACTCGGAACAAATCCGCAAGGCCAACAACAAACCGTCATCGCAGTTAGCGGCAGCGACAACTCCATTCCTCTATTCACCCTGGAATATGGACCAAACCGCGGCTACAGCAACTTGCGCCCCTACACAACCCTCCGCGATGTGCACCCTTTCTCAATGACAAAACTCACCTTCTCAACCTTCATCGCGCCCCCACACCCCGTAACCCCAGACGTCGGCCCGCAGAACATAAAGCTCGCCTCCGTCAGCATGGGCAACACAGTCGTCGTACACACCTTCCCACTATCCCCCTTCCCAACCTCCTCTCGCACCCCCCGCTATGTCCTCGTCACCCCTGGCCCCGCCGAGATCTGGGAACTAGTCTACAGCATCATCATTCTCCTCTTCTCCATATCGGCAATCTGTCTATCAATGCTCGCCTTCGCCGAGATCCGCGGCGGAACTCCGCCTATCCTCGGCGCCACAGAGTGGCTCCCAGATAGCATTCGCGGAATCATCGCACGGGAATACGTCCTACCCCCACGGGATCAGCTGACGTATTTCGATACTCTTCTTGCTCCGCGTGACAGTGATACCGATATCCCAGTGGCGACCATTGTCTCCACAGACTCGCAGATAGAATCCCTCCGCGAAATCCTGGACCGCGTACACCGCGCCGGCGCCGCGCCCGCTGATCTGGAGCCTGTCGCACCACAGTCCCTTTCTGTTATCGTGCGGTGCGGTGGCGGACACAATGCCGAGCAGAGCGTAATTATCGAGACTGCTGCGTCCGCGTCTACGGACGAGCCTGAGAAGTCCGAGGAGGAGAAATTGCAAGCTTGGAACGATCTTTCTGCGTCTGAACAGGGTGTTTGGAAACAGAGGCTTATTGATGCGGGACGTTGGACGGTTTCTGAGGGAGAGAGTGTCCTTATTGGGGTTTTGTTTAGTGAGGCTTGTGGGGGGTTGGGGAGGGCTGTGAGGGAAGAGTTGCCTTGATTGCTTTTTTGCCTTACGTATGAATTGCTATATTAGTTTTACGCTTGTTAATGATATATTAGATCCTATTTATGTTCGTGTTACTCTTGCTTCCAAGACATTGAAAAGTGGCATCGTAATGATATCCTCAATGTGACCTTTCTATTATAATCCCAAGCTAACTGGACATCGGGATTATCCTAAGCCCTATAACGTCCAGACCAGAAGTCGCATAAGCAGCCGACTATTCCTTGTGAATCCGAGTCAAGGTTCTTAACCATGCTTGAAATTGACCTTATAGAGTTATATGAAGACATGCATTGTTTGATATCCATTTGGACGACTGACTTAGTACCCAAATACGGCACAAGCCCAATACACCTGTTATAGTGCAGGTCAAAGCCGATTATTTTGATAAAGAAATCGAGCCAAGTCACATCGGATTTTAAACTATTCTTCGCTTTTGTGCAAGGGCACATAATACAGTGCAAGTTGCAAAATCGTGAACGTCATAGGGGGGAAACATGGTATGTGTTTTGTGCAAGCGTCGAGAAGTTGGACAGGGGGAAAGAGAAAAACAGATCAAACGCCAGATTATCCACGCCCAGGGTTGTGTATGAGAAGTGATGAGAGCAGAGCGGCAATGATATCTCCAATGAAGGGGGTGCAGTGAAGGAAACGGGAATAGAGCACACGGGAAGAGAGTATGTTCCTGTGAATGAAAGTGAGACATGGACATCTAAACGAAGACGCGTAAATGGAACCCAGATGTTGTTGCTCCAAGTTGCGGTAAATGAAGAGCAGAGCGGAAATCTTGGTTATCTACTAGCCAGTAGCCTTCTTCCAGCGGAGCAGCTCAGCCAGACTAGCCAAGCTGCATCCAGTCTGGAGGAATTCGTGGGCGAGGAGCTCGTCAGCGGAAGCGCGGCTGTGGACATTGACGCAGAGGCAGACGCTCAAGAAAGCCTTGAGCTCCTTGGTGAGCTTCTCGGGCTTCTTGAGACGAGGGGTTCCGTTGGTGGCAATAAGGTAGAGGGCCTTCAGTGGCTCTTCGTTCAGGTAGGGAGGCTCGGACTCGATCATTTCGATGGCCATGATGCCTAGCGACCAGCAGTCGACCTTCGGACCGTACTCCTTCTGCTTGACAACCTCGGGTGCCATCCAGTACGGGGTACCGACCATGGTGGCGCGCTTGCTCTTGTGTTCGGTCAGCTTGGCGCAGAAGCCAAAATCAGTGATCTTGACGTGGCCAACACGGTCGAGAAGGACGTTGTCACTCTTGATATCACGGTGAATGATGCTCTGGTTGTGCAGATGGGCCAGACCCTTGCAAGTCTATTGGTAAAACGTTAGTAATTGGACGAAAACAACCTTTGGGGGGAACAACATACCTCGGCACAAATTGTTGCGATCTGACCTTCAGTAATTACTGGGTTATTGTCAATTACATCAGTCAATGCGCCACCCTCCATGAATTCCATCACAACCCAGAGCTCATTGCTTGATTCCTGCAAGAATGAATCGAGGAAGTTGACAATATTCGGGTGCTGGCTGTCCTTCATAACAATAATCTCGTTGACGATCAACTCCTTGCGGGGCTGACTGCGCAGGTCCATCTGCTTGATGGCAACCTGGCAGCGTGGGCCATAGGTCCGGTAAAGCTCGTGGGCGACACCTGAAGGTGCGCTTTCCTTAACCCGCGCCACATACACGGATCCAGATGCACCCTGGCCAATCTTGCGCTGTTTGCTGTAAGACTCGTTTGGGTTGTCCTTGGATACGACAGACCTCAGTCGTTCCATGACCTCGTTCTCTGACATGGCTGACATGCGCACCTCCTTTTGGCGCGGCTGATCTGCCTTCTTGGTAAGAGCAGCTTCGGCTTGGCGGACACCATCGGGGACATTCTGCTTGGTCCCATTTTGCTTGTTGGCAATGTTCAGCGGCTTCACAGCTTGAACGGGGGCCGGCAGGCGTGATGGAGGGGGTCCAGCCTGTCCTTTGGAAGCGTTCTGCTGAGGGCGGTTGGCTGAGCCAGGGGCCCGAGGGTCATTAGGAGGATAGCGGGAGCTTGGAGAACCCTGGCGGTCATCAGTTCGGGGAGCACCCGGTGCTCGGGGCGCGCTTTGGCCGTAGGGACTCTGTGATGGTGGCGCTGGTGCGGGACGCTGTGCAGTGAGCTGACGGGGATCTTGCTGGCGAGCAGCAGAGCCTGGAGCCTGAGGGGCCGGGCGGCTGGGTTGATAGCGGCTATTCTGTGATGGCTCGTCGCCACCATATCCACCAAGCTCCTGTTGAGCCATAGTAGGACGGCTCTTCGGGATGGATGCATTGTAAGCATCCTGCTCCTCCTTGTTGCGACGTTCCTCCTCCACGCGGCGACGCTCTTGATCGGCCATCTCCTTCATCCGTTCAACTTGCTGCTGGTGGTCTGCTGCACGGTCCGACTGTCCGACTGAGGACGACGCAGATCGCATAGAACCGTCAGATTGCTTCGACTGACTGCTATCAAGGCGCTGCATCGGGCCTGGCGGGGGAGGACGTGGGGGTGCAATGGAGCTACCAACACTACTACCGTACGCCTTGGGTTGACCATTGGGTGGGGAGTTGATTCCAGCGTAGTATTGCGGGTTCTGCTCGCGCATTTTGATATCTGAGTAGAATTCAAGAACCTCAATGACGGCCTGGGGGTTCTTCTTGTAGTCTTCCTTGGTGATAGCCGAAGACGTCAAAAGCTTCTCCCACTCTGGAGGCAAGCCTACAAAGGCACCCGTATTTGGGTCAAAGCCGACATGGACACGGTGACTGAAGTTTGTCGGGTTACTGACACCGCCCATGCCAGGGCAGCGTTCGTAGATCTTGTCGATCCACTCATAGATTTCATCATCGGATTTGACTTCACAGGTGATGGTCTTGGTAGGTAGATCGCGGGCTAGGAGAGCGGCTTTGGAGTTTGCATCCTTCGGGTTGGCCAAGCGAGTGACCTCGAAGGCCATCTTGGAATCCTCGGAGCGAGCGACAGCGGTGACCGAGGACAAGGGGAAAGTAATCACTACCTTGCCAGAATCACTCTTCAAAAATTCAAGTTTATATTCGCGCAGGATCAAGTAACGTGTATTCCAGGTTGCCAAGAATTTGTCCTCTTTGCAGCGGACGGTGCCTTCTTTGATGATCGAGATTCCATTTTGCCCGGTATTACTCCGAGACATCGCCAGCGAAGGGTTGCTGGTATTGGGGAAAAGCGACAGGTTGGCGGACGATGGACCTGGTGTGATCGGAGAGTCCAAGCTCATCTGACCAAAGGAGGTGGCTGCGTTGGTGGGTAGAGTCAACTTGGGGGGTCGGTCGGTAGGGGGCCGGGGAGCTGGCCCCGGATTCATGAACTGCTCCGGCGCATACATGTTGCTTTGGTGGGTGAGTAAAAGGAATACCACCAGATTCGAGGCCAGATGGTGCAGTTACATACTTTCCGTAGGAAGTCATTGTTCAAGGGATTTCACAGGTCACGTAGGGGGAGGGGAGGGGAGGATGTAAACGAATGCGCCGAGACCTCCTGAGGCCCTCGAGACAGGCTAGCGCTACTAAACTGGAATCAGCGACTGCGTTTAGAATGAGAATGATGCAAATAACGATTCACGATGTTTTTCAAAACCACTCGAATATCCACAAAGGGGAGAGAGTAGGGTAGGATCGAGAGAATCGAAGGAGGGGTAGAATGAGCGTACCTTTTTTAAAAGAAAAAATCAGGAGCGGTCCTCGCACTGCGAGGAAGCTCGAGAATAAAACAATGCAATATCCGTTAAAAATAAAAGAATCAAAGTTGGGAGAGGTTGGTAAAGAGAAAGGGGTTCTCCCCTGAGAGAGAGTACTTTAGAAGTTCATCTACAGAAAACAAGCCTCTGCCAATCAGATCGGCCATACGGGCTCCACGGCTTTACAATTTATGATGTACTCCGTACTTCGTATATCTTTGTATATCTTCTGTTATATTAGAGGATTAATAGATAAAGAGAATTATACATTATACCTCGCCAAATGGATGATTGAACTTCAACAATCCATTCAATCCACCAACCCATCCCTCATGGGCTTCACATCCCATACTTCTTCGCATCACACTGGGCACACCACCCTGCCACTCATTCTTCCCATGCCGCATCTCCTCATTCCAAACTCGGACCTCCATACCAACTCCCATCCCTTGGCCTAAATGAACTCCGTCCAGACTGACTTCCAGTTCGCGTCCACGGTTCTTTTCGCTTAGCCGCAGGGTGATTGGGGTACTGGAAGGGAGAACCAATGGCCGGAAGCTGAGACTACGCGCGCAAATCGGCGTCAAAAGGGTGGCGGGGACTAGTGGATGCACAATACTACCCCCACTACTCAGGCTGTAGGCTGTACTTCCGGTTGGCGTAGAAATTATGATTCCATCTGCCACAGCCTCCGTCAGGAACCGTCCACCCACAAACACATCTACCACAGCCAAGTGCGGTTCCTTGCCACGGTGGATGAGGAGCTCATTCATCACATAAACCCCCTGGCCCTGGTCGGTCTTGGTCCGGATGGGCGTCGTTTCGGTTCCGTCGGCGGTAAACAATCCAACTTTCAACCGATTGCGCATCAGAATGCGCGCCCCGCGCGTAGAGCCCATAGATTTGCCCCGGACGGATGACCACCCGGTCGGCCCCATCTCAATTTCTTGTTCTGTGGATGCCGCTCCCGGGGGGTCTTCCAACACGGGGGTGCGATCCCCTGCTCCGGCTCCGGACATGTAGACTTCTCGGAAAGCCCGTTTAAACTCTGAGAACTTCCACTCACTCAAGAACCCCAATGTACCCATGCTGAATGATAGCACGGGTGGAACGTTTGAGCAGGTCGCGAAGAGCGACGCTGCATGTAGAATCGTGCCATCGCCGCCCAGGGTCACCGTGAGGTCAACTTTATCGTGAAGCGCGGTTCTCTTCTCGTCGAGAGAAACCGAGTAGACGGGAAAGGAGAGTGACGAATGTACTTCAGCTGCG